TGACACAGTGGCTTTTCCATTGGGCTGCTAACCACAGGGTGAGAAGTTCAAAACCAGCAGCTACTCCATGGGAGAAGACAAAGTTTTCTTCTCCCATAGAAAGTTACGGTTTCCGATGCCCACAGATGTCCTAGAAGGTCACTGTGAGTTGAAACTGACTGGAGGACAGGGAGGTTTGGTTTGAGAGCCACGTTCTTTGTAATTCCCACCAAAATGCTGTTCATGGTGTGAGAGGCCCTCAAGTCAGCTGCGACTCATATTGAACCTATGTACAAAAAGACAAAATACTGCTCAGTCCTGTGCCATCCTCACAATTGTTCCTATGTTTGAGCCAATTATTGTAGACACTATGTTAGTCTATTTGTGGTAAGTGGAAAAGGAGGTGGATATATCTGGCTTCATCTGGTTTCCCTGTTGCCACCAAGAAGAATAAAACATGCCTCCACACTCCCTCCTTTCCACATTCCTTCCACACCACTCTACATATATGCCAGTTCAATACTTCATTGCAATGGCCACACAGAACTCGCAGACAACATTCACTATTCAGGGAGTTATTAGGGAGGTCTGTACACGGCAGGATCAGCAAACAGTAAATTTATAATCAATGATCTCTCAGCCAACAGCCAAGTCTCTCTTTGGTTCTTAGTCTCTCATCCATGTGGTCCTTTGGCCTTTGCCTCCATGGGCCAGGAAGTCAGTCTCATGTCAATCTGTCCCACAGTTCTATAGTCTCAGGCCAAATAAAGAGAAGGCACCCTTCTGGACACCGTGGCACTGCTACTCTCTTCTTCCTTCCTCGGTCTCTGATGCATTTAGTCTCGGTGGCACTCAGTGCTACTTTAGACAGAGATCCTGCATGTGCTCTGCCATGGCCCTGGAGCTTTCTCCCTCCACTGCTGCTTCAAATATGGGTTGGTGGTAACAAAAACTGACTAATCCCCTCTCTTAGTGTTACACACATCCTATTTGCATAGTCCCACCCAATCATTTGGTGAGAGTTACAGAGATTTAGGTAGAAGACCATATTAAGAAATTTCCCTTCATTACACCATTTTGTAGAGGGTCTCCCTATTTTTTGCTGCCCCTCTATTTTTTCAACCATGATAGCCTTTTCCAGGGACTGGTCTTTGCTGATAACATGTCCAAAGTATATAAGACAAAATCTTGCCATTCTTGCTTCAAAGGAAAATTCTAAATGTACTTGTTTCAAGGCAAATTTGTTAGTTCTTTTGGCAGTCCATAGTACCTTCAATCTTCTTTGGCAGTCCATAATTCAAATGCCTTGATTCTTCTTTGGTCTTCCTTATTCAATGCCCAACTTCCATATGCAAAGCCTTGGCAGGGCAGTGCAAATGTGAGGTGCTTGTGGCACACCACAGGGACTGAACAACTTGCTCATGTGGGTAGGGCCATGTTGGTAAGTTCATGAAACTCTAATGTGGACATTGGTCATTTTTTACACCATTTTAACAACACCTAACAGCAACAACATGATTTCTCAGTGATTAATAGCCATATTTGTGTAACTTGCATTTCTTTGCCTTTTTGCAAATAAGTTCATCTTAATCTTGTAACCGTAATTTTACTTTTGAAAAGATATCACATAAATTTTTAATATTGTCTCACTTAGTAAAAAATGTTACTCCTCTGGTTCACTGACAACATTTTCTTTTCTTTTTTTTTTCATGATATATTGTGAAATATTTATTTATTTATTTTAATCATTTTATTGGGGGCTTGTACAACTCTTATCACAATCCATACATACATCCATTGTGTCAAGCACATTTGTATATTTTTTGCCATCATCATTCTCAAAACATTTGCTTTCTGTTTGAGCCCTTGGTATCAGCTCCTCATTTCCCCCCTCCCTGTCCAATCCCCACTCCCTCATGAA